TTTTGTCCATTTTCAAATCAATCAGTACAAAGTTTTCAGGATATTATTTTGTTACAATATGAATTATTACTAAAGTTTTTTCCCTTTTTTCATTTCTAATATTGAATCTTTTTGCTTTTCTCTCTTATTCTTTATCAATCCCATATTTAACAATTTTACTGATCTTTTCAGAGAACTAACTTTTGACTTTGTTTATCCTCCCTATTATGTTTTGATTTCTCGTTTAGTTTCTGCCCATGTTCTTATTATTGCCTTATTTCTTGTTTCCTTTGAACTTATCCTGTTATTCTTTTTATAACTTCTTAAGTTTGATACTTATTAACTTACAAACTTTTTCTCTAATATAAGAATTTATGCCCATAAATATCCTTTTTCCCCCTTCATCCCACAAATTTTGATATTCATTATTTTCATTTTATTCACTTTTAAGGTTTTTTCCCCCAGTTTTTACTTCTTTTTCCTAGACTCATAGGTTATTTTTGGAATATTTTTAAATGTCAAACCACATGAAGATTTAAAAAAATATTTACTTCTGACAATTTCATTTTTGAGAAGATCAAATGAATTAAAGTGAGATTGCATTGGAAATTATAAAGGGTTATATAACTCTGAAGTATTGCTACAATCCATTAATTCATCTAACATTTATTTGTCACTTGCAGGCCAGGCACTGTGCTCATTAGTGGAGGTCAGAACAGAAAGGGGCTCATATTCTTGAGGGGGTAGCAGAGATGAAGCTGTCAGCAGCATATCGTATGATAAGTGCTGGGATTGAGGGGAGCACAGAGGAAAAGCACCTGACTCATACCCAGGGCTTAGCAAAGATGCCTGAGAGGAGGCAGTATTAGGATGGGTCTTGAAGTTCTCCTTTGCTGTGTAGACATGGGCTGGTGTGTAGAAAGTGGAAAGGTCTCTAAGGCAGAAGAAACTGTTTTTACAAAAGTAAGAGCATATCTGGAACCGCTCAGACAGGTGCAAGTCATTCAGTTCAGATGAAGCAAGGGAGATGCACAATGGATTGGCATTTTAGATTAATCTGGCAGCGGTGTGAGGAAGGGATCGGTTTTGGGGTGGGAGGGAGTAGTGTGACAAAGTAAAGGCAAGGAGATGGATAAGATTCCATTGCCCTAATTCCATTGTCCTAATCCAAATTTGAGTGGGTTCCTAGAGTATTCAGAAGAAGCACAGATTGGACTTGGTGACTGTGAGATATTTAGGAGCAAGTGTCCAATAAGCAACTGACCTATTGATATGAAACTTGAGAGAAAGAAGTCCAGGTTAGAAATTTAGATTAAGAAGTCACCAGCGATTACAAGAAATAACTAGAACTGGTCACTATAATTTATAGATAATAAATATTAGACACAGAAAGGGCAGTGAGCCAAAGTTATCTACTCATTTATTTGTTCATTCATTCATGGAATTTTTATTAAATACTGGCTGTGAACTGGGCATTAGGTTAATGGTTGGAGGTAAAACCAAGACTTCCTCTTTACCCTAACAATACACTATAATTGTTTCTAAAACCAACGGCTTCACTCATAATTTCTTGGGTTTCTTTTTTCAATAGGAAATCAGTTCTGGGCAGTCAGAGGAAGTGAGGTACAAGCAGGTTACCCAAGAAGTATCCACACTCTGGGTTTTCCTCCAACCATCAGGAAAATCGATGCAGCTCTTTCTGATAAAGAAAAGAAGAAAACATACTTCTTCGTAGAGGACAAATACTGGAGGTGAGATGCAATAGGAATGACTGTATATGGAGCCTAATTAGGGCAATTATTTTTTTTCTAGAAGGATCTCTCCCACTCCCACTCTCTAACTTTCTGACTCTGAGGAAGACAGCTTACAATTGTCCAACCTTCCATATATAAAAGGGCTCTCAGAGTGGTGATCACTGACAGACACCAAAAGACATCAGGAGAGGCCAACGGGGTCCAAAGGCACATTCACTGCCCATCCCACGGCCAGTCACCATGTGGCTGCCCTAGGAAGGGCAGATCTGTAAGAAGCAGGCTGTAAAGGTCTTCAGAGTCCCAGAGTGATAGAGAACCAGAGGTTTATTTTTAGCCAAATGATTCAATTCACTTTGCATCTTCTGTGTATACAGTTTTCATGTATTTATGGCAGAAAGATATTTAAGTTCTATGTGTCCAGGCTTATAAAATTGACCTCTGATATATGTATGGAACCTTTGTAGAATGCCATGATGTCCCTATTTCTGGGGAAAATATTGTTTTATATGCTAACCTTGTAAACCCAGGAAAGTATTATCGTACTACTAAAAATGTTTAACTCTTCTTTACACAACTTGAAAAGTTCATATAGGATTCCACACTGGGAAATCACATCATACTGTTGCATGTAATAGGACCTCTACACAATTTTGAGCTGTATTTCTTTCACCTGGTGCAGATTTGATGAAAATAGCCAGTCCATGGAGCAAGGATTCCCCAGACTAATAGCTGATGACTTTCCAGGAGTTGAGCCAAAGGTCGATGCTGTGTTTCAGGCATTTGGTAAGAGGACCCTCATTTCATTGCCAGTGGGGGCTCTTCTGGGCATTTTATGGTTTCATTCTTTTTACTCCTAACTCCTGAAAAATTTAACTTTCCAATTTATACAAATTGGGTTTACATTTTGTTTTTCTTAAATAACTTCCAAGTCTCTGTTTCATACCTGCACACAAAATCTAAGGATACTTCCTCACACTGAAGCCATTATCTTCCAGGTTACTATGTTGGTATAAAAATACAACCAGTGTGAGGCAGGGTGTCATTCTCCTCTATCCTCTATCTCCTCTATCTCCTCTATCTCCTCTATCTCCTTTTGCTGTCCCTTCTCTCCCACCCCATCCTAGTGGGCCTTGTCTGGGCTTCTGTTGCAGTCTGTAATTGTCTACAGTAGTCATTTGTAAATAAATGGAATCCTCCCATATCCTTAAAATAGACAAAGTCTGATTGCTGGTAATGGGTAGATGGGAAAGCAAAACGTGTGCTTGCTTACCCTGAAGGAAGTTTGGAGGCAGCTTCCAGGGCTTGACAATCGCAGTGCTCATGAGGCTGCCGGTCTCGTTGCTAAAATGACTTGACCATAATGTGTGCAAAGCGGGAAATAGGTGTCTGGTGTGTTTTACCATTGGTCTGATTCTCTTGGGTCCGAGTGTCTCCCATGCTGTGATTTAGGACCTAGTGGGGGAGGAGAGGTTGGGAAGAAAGAAGAATAAACAAGGTTTTAAAATATCACAGAACTCTATCGATTTAGAAGCACTATAGTCTAATGTTTTGGAGCACTGGCTTTGAAGTCAGACAGATGACACAGAGTCCTCCCTCCAGGAGAGAGGTTACCATGGGAGAATCAAAAAACCCTACTAATTTTCGGTTTTGTCCTTATTAATAACACCTCACACTTTTTTGGTAACCGTCAATGACATAAAGTGTGAAAAGCATTTGCTCAGCTCCTGGTACAGAGTAACCACTTAATAAATGTCATCCATTATTAGCTTGTTCTTATTCTAAGTTATACGTGGTACAAAATGATTTATTTGGAGATGTCTCATCATTTTCCTCATCTATGTTTACAGGATTTTTCTATTTCTTCAGTGGATCATCCCAGTTTGAGTTTGACCCCAATGCCAGGATGGTGACACATATATCGAAGAGTAACAGCTGGTTACAGTGTTAGGCAAGATAGAGAAAAGACAGACATCGGCATTTTAAATGAATCTAATAATTATTTGCCTAATTTATTATGAGTCAAAATGATTAATTATTCCTGCATGTGCTGTGGCTGAAGAAGATGAGCCTTGCAGACATCTTCATGTGTTATGGAGCATTTGTCTGGAATGCTTCACTGGCTTTGGAATTACTTTGAATACAAGTGAGAAATTC